GTGTCCAGCAGATGGCAGACAAGATTCTTCTTAAAGGGCTGTAGTTTTGAAATGGACTTTATATTTTGAGGAATGTCATTCCATGCTTTAGTGTAAACATAGAAGAAAGACCTCTGGCCGTAACAGTTTTTAAAAGTTGGTAATATCAGTTGTCCTTTTGTAACAGATCTAGTTGAAATAAACTAAACTATTTAATACAATTGTTTTTGTTTTTAAATAGCCCACCTTTAATGGGCAGGCAGTCAAGTTATTATTATTATCTTTGTGTGAGTGTGTGCTCATGAGATTGTTAGCAAAATATCTGATGAACCACTTCATGGATTTTAAATAAAACTCTTGAAAAGTAATTACTGACCTGCAGCTGAGTAATTTCTTGTCCATACAATTCAAGATGGCCGCCACAGCTGACCAACCTTAGCCAACACAAACATACAGGAGCTATAATTCAGTCGGTATTACAGATATTGAGCTAAAATGTGTGATGGTAGCTCAGCGCAATCCCCAAACCATACACTGAACAGATGGATGTTTGAAACTTTTCATGCTAGGCAGTGGGCGATATGCATTCCTTTGGTTTCTTTTATTTATTTATTTTTAATTTTATTCACTTTTAATAAAAACAATTCTGCTTTTTTACTTAGACCAGCTCCGTTTGTGAAGAATGTGTAAAATAAAACGTATAACCAAACAAATGGGCAGGGACAAAGAAGAATAATGCGGACACAAACCCTTAAAGTCTTGCGGGTCGACCTTGTACACTCCCTGCCAATCCTGGCCGTAGGAGATACGGTTCAGGTACCAGGGAGAGGACAGCAGGGTTTGGTACCCTGCCGATGTAACATTCTCCATCTCCGTTTGGTATTGCTGCTTGTTTCCTTTCCAAACGTGGATAAGTGTGTCTAGTTTGAGCTAAACAGCACACACATATGGAGTTATCAGTACCAACCAGATAAAAAAGGGAAAGCTCAACTTTATTCACACGGTGACATTTGCAACAAATGTCTGGAGAAGCAAAAGTCTTGGAGGACTTTTGGTTTTGGTCCAGTTCTATGAAGGACAAAACTGTCCTGGCTCTTGGGAACAACCCTGCTACCGTATTTAGGTTAGAAAATGTGGTTTCATCCGACAGCCTGGTTCATTATTTCAAGTAGACCACCAGCCACACCGCCCCATGTTCTCCTAACGTCAGTCTGACTCATCACAACTGTGTGTTTTTTTTTTATTGTAAACCTGTTGAAGAAAAATCAGCAAGTTCCCCCTCAATAAATCTGTTGATTCAAGAAAAAACAAAATTCTATTTGTTTTAAACTGACCATTAAAGTTGAGCGGTTCAACCTTGTAGTAGTTCTGCCAGTCCTGTCCGTAGCTAACATAATCTAAGTACCACGGGGCAGAGAGGATGGCGGTGTATCCCGCTGCCGTCACGTTGGCCATCTCCTTATCACACCCGCCGCCGTTCATCCACACATGAACTACAGTGTCAGGCTTGAGCTGCAGGTGTTAGAGGCCACGCTTCTGCTTTTAGCTTCGTTACAACAGTCAGTGGGTTCAGCTAAAGGAACAGTTTGAACTGACAGCCTGGATTTCTTTAGGTCTGTGTGCTAAATTTGGACATCAGCCTGATATACAGCTTATTTTATTCAAACTGATTTTGACATCAGCTTTTGGTGCCTATAAAAAATCTTCACCAATATGTCTTGATAGCTATTTTAAAGGGATCCCTGATTAGTTGTAATAGACTTTATTTAATTAACATATATTTAAACAGTAAAATAAAGACTATAAAAATACTGTAGGCTGTTTACTTTTTATCATTTTTAAACTAAAAGTTTAAAAATATATTACATGGACGGGGCCATTTTATTTACACACAAAGCATTTTGGGTAAATCATGCTGTGGCTAAGTCCTTGGTGCGAGGCTGCTAGTGAGCTATATCCACCCTGAAGGTTAATCTTGGACAATATCTGATGATCGACTCTTWTAAATGAAACCAGAGAGCGTTGACAGAGAGGAGAA